ATTTGTGAACGAGGCTCCCACTCAGCCCCCGAGCTACTTGTCTCGCCCAGGTGACATCAGATGTGGATTTGCTGTAAACTTTGTGCCGGTCTCACAATCAGAAGGACACAGGGCAGCACCGCAGCAGGCGAGACCCAAGCTGTCGAGCTGCGCGAGGTGTGGGATTTTGCAACGAAGGCCGTGAGTCTGGGTCAGCACTATTTACAGAGAGCACATGGTGTTTTGTTTCAATGAGCAGGAAACAGTTTGCGATTCAATGTGGTAAAAGCTTGTCTCTTTTTCCAACTAAGCAGGAAAAGGAATCACTCAACCTGAGTCATCTTCAACCAGGGACAAAGTGCGGCTGGGACAGAAACTGTTTTCCTGTGTGGTAAAAATAAAACTGAACACACTGAGGTGGAGCCAACCAATCCCCGGAGTTTCATGTGATTCTTTTAAGTCAGGCTTAGGAAAGCATAAATTGGATAAGTGAACTCTGCTCTTTGTAGTATGCATTCAGTGAGGGTTCCCCCCCCCCAGGGAGGTTTGTTTTGTTTTTGATTTTTCAACTCAGGGTCTCACTATGTACTTCAAGTTGGCCTTAAACTCACTTTGTAAACCCACGCTGGCATTTAACTCTTAGTGATTCCCCAGCCTCAGCCTCCTGGGTGCTGGATTAATAGGTGTGCACCCCCAAGGCCAGTTATGTTCTGTGAATTTGGACAGATATCTTTAGTCCTGTAGCCCCCGAGCCCTCACGCTCCTCCCAACTCAGCCCTGGAGAACCACTGATTTGCATCTGCTACCATACTTTTGGTTTTTGCAGAATGTCCCCCACAGAGAATCATCTAGGACTCGGGCTTTTAACTCTGGTTCAGATATTCACCTGCAGGTTTGGGGTGAACAGAATTCTTCCTGTCTCTCGCTCATCACTCCAGAGAGCCCTTGCCAGGGGAAGTGGAAGCTGCTTTTGCTGCTGGTTAAAACAAAAGAAAAAACTGCCAAAGAGAGGCTGAGCCAGCACACGCTCCCACTAGCTACCTGGGAATGATTCAGATTTGAATTTTCAGGTAAATTTCAGCACTAATTGCTGAAATCTGATGGTGTATGCACCATCAGATGTGGTCTATTCTGGAAGTGCTATTGTTAACAACACACCATTACAAAGGGTAAGGGGGAAGACCTCATGCCTTGCCCTTAGAAACTTGGTTTAACTGAGTTTTGCGTGTGAACAATAGGAAGGCCCACCCTGGGTGTAGGTGACACTGCCCAATGGGCTTGGAGCATGAATGAGATGAAAGGAGAGGAAGGTTCCCTGCTGCTGTTTTGCTGCCTTCTGACTACCTTGCCAGGGACTGCTTCTCCTCTGCAGTGCCTTCCTGCCTTGGAGCCAATTGACCATGAACTGAAATCTCCATAAATATGAGCCAAAATAAGGTTTTCTTCCTTTAACTTTGGGTGTTGGCAATTTTGTTTCAGCAATGAGAAAAGTAACTGAGATAGAACCCAAATTTGACCTCAGCTTGGGCAATTTAGCTAGATCCTGCTTCAAGATAAGACATGTCAAAATAGGATTGGAATATGGCTCAGTATAAAAGCCCTGAGTTCAATCCCTCATATCCTCATATCCCTCCACACACATCTGTGAAGAATAGAATGGGAAAATAGTACTGAAAATGACACTGTTACAACTTCATTTATAGACTTAAAACCAAACAACTGGGGTGTGTGCAAATAATTGTAATGCTTATGTGTAAAGAAATCTTGAAAAGTAACAGTAGCCCAGAGACATAATTCATCCCCAGAACAGGCCAGATGGGGATGAGTATCCCAGGGGGCCTGCAAGATAGCTCAGTGGTCTAAAGCACCTGCTTAGGCAAGTACAAGCAAACACAGGGACAGTAGTTTGATCCCTAGTACCACACATGTCTCAGTTACTCTTCTCTCGTTGCTGGGACAAATACACGACACCCAAAATGAAGGAAGGAAAGGTTTATGTAGCTCCCAGTTACTGGAGGTTTCAGTGCATACTTAGCTGACTCCAAGGCAGACTGGAACATGGTAGAGGGCAGCAGTTCATGGTGGTGGCAAAGAGCAGAGAGCAAAAGGGAGGAGCAGCAGCAACAATGGCACCAGAGAGCAAGTCTGTCTCTCTGTCTCTCTTGTGTTACATTCAGGCTGTCCACCCCAGGCTGGATGTAGCACTCACATCCATAATCCCAGCAGTACTCAGACCCATAATCCCAGCCTTGGATCACCCATAATCCCAGTGGATCATGAGTTAATCACAAACTCTAGAAGTCCACCCCATGATTGCATAAAGTTTGGGGGAACAACTAAATGCAAACCATAGCCACATGCCATGCCTGAGTTCAATCCCTTAGGGCAGGCTGAGCTGGCCAAAAAAAATCAATATCCCATTATTGAGTTAATAGTGCCCTACATTGAAGTTTACATTAAAAACATTTTAACCTTTTAATGAAGTAAAAATCATTTATTACACGTATCTTAAACTTCAGAAGAAACTTAGGTGGCCATATTTCTGTGTGCTGAGCAATCTCTTCAGTTTTAATTCACTTCTTTTTTCGTTTGCTAAATGTAAGGAAAATTAATCCTTAATGTTGTCATCATAATCTGAGTCCTCCTCCTTCTTTGTCTCTGTGAGACAGGGTCTTGCTATGCCATGCAGGCTGGCCTTGAGTTCACATTGTAGCCCAGGCTGTTCTGGAACTTGCAGCGATCCTCCTGCCTCAGCCTCCCGAGTGCTGGGATTACAGGGGTGTGATCCCACACCCGATCTGAGCTCCTTTTAAGTCCCTCACCTTCCTTAACCACACACAGCGGTGGGGCTGGGCATTGCTCTGTGGCGCAGCACTTAGCTAGTGCGTGCAAGGCAGGGTTCCATCCTCATCAAGGCGGAACTAAACAAAACTACACAGAGGGCGTGTGAAGCTCTGCAGACTTGGACGTGGCTTATTTCGAAGTGGCAGGATTCTGAGTAGCCTGTTACTCTCTTCTTTCTGCATTTCTATCTGTCTATAATTTATTTTTTTCCCCTCCTTCCCTTCCTGTTTCTTTGTTCTCTGGTACTGGGGATTAAACCTAGGGGTCCTCTGTCTCTGAGCTGCACCTCTAGCCCTCTTTGCTTTGAGGGCTGGTCTTGCTAAGTTGCCTGGGCTGACCTGGAACTTGCAATTCTGCCTCGGCCTCCCAAAAAATTGAATCACAGGCCTCTGCCACTGCTGCTGACTGCCAGTTCTTAATACTGTGCTTGTGGCCCTTTTAGTAAAACAGCACAGGCCTTTCCAACTGTAAGCAGCCCCCAGATGCATTTGTAAAGAGCCACTGAACAAGAGTATGGGCACAGAAGCAACTCAAGGCCCTCTGTGGGTGGGTGGGGCACCAGGGCACTGGCACTGTGGAGATGAGGTGGGGGTCCCTCGCTGGGGGTTTGCTGATCCTTGCAGCCTGCACCCTGAGTGCCAGACTCCTCACCAGGCCGCAGGTTCCATTCCTCTGACTTTCCTTTAACTGAATTTAACACGCACCTGGCACAGTGCTCAGAGCCTCAGGCGTGAACTCCTCACCTAAACCACCTGAAGAGGGTACGGCTGGGCCCTGAGTGCCTTCTGCCCTCCTGCAGCCAGGCCGGATGCTGATTGGTACCCTCTAAGATGCTGCCCCTAGGGAAGCTGAGGAGGTGGAGCCAGGTGCCTCACATCCCCTGTGCTGTCCTCCACACCATCCACTTTCCACATCAGCCCCTGTCCTGGGGCCACTGGATGATTCTGGAATAAGGGATTTTTTTTTTTTTTTTTTTTTTTTTCTCCGAAGGCCCTCAGGGGTGGTTTGGCTGGCTGAAGTGTTGTGGGGATCGAACTACAGCAACCTGAGGCTGACAGCTTTGTGGAAGCAGCCACTTAAACAACTGAGCTAAGGCCAGGTCCCCGACACTGGATGATTCTGGATTGACTTCCATCCATGGTTGCAAACTGGTGTCCCAAAGCACCCTGTATCTGTGGGGACCAAGTGCTGCCTTAGTGTTAAATCCACATTGTGTGTGTGTGTGTGTGTGTGTGTGTGTGTGTGTGTGTACTGGAGATTAGGGCCAGGGCCTTCACAATGAGCTGCCTCCTCAGTCCTTTTCTATTTTTTTAAGACAGGGTCACTAAATTGCCCAGGTCCTGCTTAAATTTGGGGTCCTCTGCCTCAGAATCCCAGAGAGCTGGGATGACAGGCATATTTCACAATACCTGGCTAAGAATGTTTAACTTTTAAAGTTCACTTTTTTGGTTTTTGAGACAGGGTCTCACTATGTAGCCCAGGCTGGCCTCATACTCAATAGTTCTACCTCCCCAGTGCTGGGATTACTTAGCAATGTTAACTATTTTAAATTTAAATTTAAAAGGTGGTGTTGCCTTCAGTTACTTGGAAACAGTATGCTTGGGACCCCTTGGGTGTGGAAATGTGTTTTGTAACCAGACATTTTATAACATCATTTGTTGCCAGACATTTTATAAAACCAAAATCTGGAACAAGAATTTGCCATTGTAGCTGGGCATGTTGGTGCATACCTGTAATCCCAGCACTAGGGAGGCTGAGGCAGGAAGGTTGCCATGAATTCGAGGCCAGCCTACACTACATAGCGAGACCTTTCCTGAAAACAAGCAAACAAACAAACACGAATTTCCCATGAAAATTTCTCTTTCTGATTAAAATGTTTTACAGATGTAAAATACAACAGATTTCAAAGGCTTAATACTCAAATGCTTTACCAATTTTCTTGTATTGATGATATATTAAAACAATATTTCGGGTGCCCTTGGTGAGAAATATAGAACCAACTCCAGCTGTATTTTCATGTTTTTTTTTAGCGCGTTCTTGGAGAATTTGAGATTACAAAACTGGAATCTTACGCAGGTAGCTGGCAATTCCAGACTCCGACCGCCAGAGGGAGCTGCGTCGCTCGCCGTCGTTCCGTGCGCCTTGTTACCCGGAAGTAGTTCCCGGCCCCCGCGCCTCGGCGGCCGTGGGTGAGGTGACTTCCGGCGGGGTGGGCGCAGGGTCGCGGCATACCAGTCGTGGTGGGCGCAGCGCGATGACCACGCTGAGGGCCTTCACCTGCGACGATCTGTTCCGCTTCAACAACATGTGAGTGCGGCCGGGCCGCGCAGCCCCGGCTCCTCCTACTCGGGCGCAGCGCGGGTGCGGCCGGGGCAGCGGGTGCCGGATCCCCGCGTCCGGCTCGGGTCCCGCGGCAGGCGGCCCGGTGCACAGGCGAGGCCGGCCACTTGCAGGGACGCTTTGTGAAAAGGAGTTTTAATGGAAATTCGTAAGCGCTGGTCAGGGTTTTGCGCGGGGACCTGGGGCACCTCCCGGAGGCGGTGACCCGCGGTGGAGACGCACGGTGCGGGCAGGAGGACCAGGTCTTGGGACCTGTGATCAGACGGTGGGGACCCGGTGTGTGAAGCGGGGGTTCTGTGACCGAGCAGCAGCCAGAGAAACAAGAGGAGCCTGGCTTTGGCAGTCTGCTGAGGGCCGGCGATCTGTGGGAAGAAACTTCCCTTGGTCCGGACTGGCACCTGCCCCGAGTGCCCCTCAGTCCGTTTGCACCTGGCACCTCTGCGTATGCGATGTGCTGACTTCTCTCCTCCTACCTTGGGATGAAGTACGTAGTGCGCGTCCAGGTGAAGCGCTTCGAGTGATGGAGTCTTGGACAAGGAGTCTCATCCAAGGAGATTATTGCATGTTAAAAAGTCAGTCCCTGGCCATGGGGAATATTTTGCAGTTGCAGATTCTCAGCTGCTTGGGAAGCACTGCTGTGGAACTCTTAAGACCCATTGGTGTCCTTGGGGGTTGGTCCTAGGAGGCCCCCCCCCATGGGTATGTAAATCCAGCGATTCACGAATCCCTTGTGATGCAAATGGCGTGCTGTTTGTATTTAACCTGCTGACCTCCTGTGACTTTCCATTAGCTTTTGGTTACTTAGAATACCTGCGCTTGGTTACGGCCGTCATTCAGGTAATGATGACAAGGAAAGACAGTTTGGGAGCATAAGGTCAGAGGTGCAGAACACACAGGTAGGGAGGGGCGACGATGTCTCAACCAGCCAGCCCTGTGTGGTGTGAGGGGATTCGAGGAGTGCTCTACTCTTTCTCAAGCCTTTTGTCAGGTCGTTTGGTGGGAAACAGTGCGGATCCTGTGGATTAGGGGTTGCAGTGGGAATTGAAAGCAGCAGTGAGTGCAGACCATTGCAGTAGGCGGGGGAGAATGGAGTGGGAGGGATTTGGCCGTGGGTCTGGTGTTAGGGCAGGTGAAGGTGGAGAGTGGAAAAGTCGGGAGGGAAAGCACAGAGACAGGCAGCGCAGATGCTTGTGTACTGCAGGCGGTGTCCCTGTGTGGCCTGCTGTCCCTCTGTCGTGGATGCTTAAGTAATTAGGCCCCAGTTCTGCTAGCAGTTTATTACCATGAAAGATTCTGCTGTACTTTACAACTGTTAAATGATTTGTAAAGAGGCACTTAGTGGGCCGGGTAGATGGCTCAGTAGAATACGTGCTTGCCTGGCAAGCGCGGGGTCCTGAGTTCAATTGCCAGCATCGCAAAAATAAATAAATAAATAAATAAATAAATAAGAGGCACTTAGAGGAAATGTGTGGACCCCTTTATAGGGTCTGTGACAGCCCACTGTGGCTGCCTTCTTCCAGGCTTCCATGCTTGGTATAGAGCTCTGCGTGAAGCACGTTTCCTTTCCTTTCAGCATGCTCCTTTTAGTTTGAGCACACTTATTTAAATTGGTTTTTGTGAATGTTGATTACTATTGACATTTCTGTTTTTCTTTTTCCAGTAACTTGGATCCACTTACAGAAACCGTATCCTTTTTTTCAAACATGTTACGTGGAGATTTATTAAGCGTAAAGAAAATGGAGAAACCGAAAGGAAAAGCAGACCTGGTTATGAAGAATTTGAAAACTTGTAGGTGGGAAACAGCACGAGCAGCCTTGAAAGCATTTCCGTTCGGAGGACCAGAGCCTTGCTGCGCCCCCTGAGTGTTGTGCACTGCGGTGAGAAGTGGGAGGCTCTCGGAGGGCTGTGCATTTCCCTCACGGAGTGGAGCAGCTCAGGACAGGTGGGAGCTCCGTAAGTTGCCGCAGTTAGAGATGCAAAGAGGAGAAATCTTTACAGTCTGACCACCCTGGCATCCCACAGTGGCCTTGGTTTTCCTGCTCAGGCAGCTGCAGGGCAAACCTCACATCCAGGTCTGCAACAGAACCTGCAGAGGTGGTGACAGTATCCTCCCTGTGAAAGGCACCCTCGAGGAAGTCCCTTGTGGTGTTTCTGGGTCCAGGCGATCCGTTCTGCTCCCGCCTGCTTGTCTGCTTAGATCAGGTTCCTGAAATGTGTCTGGCTTTAGGTTGGGACTCGACACTGCAGTGAATAAAGCATTTGGGGTAACACGTAGCATTCTCCACCATACTGCCATTGGAAGAGTGGACAGGAGTGTGGAAAGTAGGGTGTTCTTGGTTGTACAATGAAAACAGATGGCTACCATATCTAATATGGCTTAAAGCACAATATTGGATATCTAGAGCATGCTCCATGTTCTTTGTAGGGAGTCGGGACTTCTGGGAGCTGATAATTTCCTAAAAGAGAGCTAGGCAAAGGCTGATGAACATGTTGAGAATATACAGGTCAGTCTCCCCAGCCCGAAGATGTGCAGAGCAGCTTGGCGTGGTGGTGCATGCCTATAATCCCAGCGCGCTGGGAGGCCAAGGCAGGAGAACTGAAAGTTTGAGCTCTGCTGGGCAATTCAGCAAGACTGACAGAAAGATGGAGGAGCTGGGATGTAGCTCAGCACCGAGGCCTTGGGTTCCACCCCCCAGCTGGGGGACAGGGAGCAGGGAGGAATCCAGACTAACAAGAATGACAAGCCATGGGGCTGGGAAGGTGGCTCGGTGGAATAAAGTGCTTCCCTGGCAAGCGCAAGGGCCTGAGTTCAATCCCCGGTTCCACAAAAGAAAAAAAAAAAAAAAAAAAAAAAAAAAAAAAAAGACAAGCCATATTTAATGTATCAAGTCATGTAGAATTTTAAAAAAAAATCAGCGCTGGTGAGGGATGCACATTGTCCTAAATTGCTAGTGGTAGTATCAGCTGGTGGGCACTTTCTGGAAGGCACTTGGGAAGGGTAATAGTAATCCCAGTTGTTGAAAATAAAAGTAGAGACAGTTCATGTTAGAGGTTAGCAAACTAAGGTCCATGGCCTGAGTATATAGCCCGCTGCTTGTGTTGCAGATTATATTTATGGGGGTCTGTTTATGCTGATACGTTTATATATTGTGTATGCCTTCCACAGTTTGAGTAGATGTTCACAAAGACCTGTGTATACCCATAAGCCTGGGGCAGGCACTGCCTGGCCCTTTGCAGAAAAAGTTTGCTAACCTCTGAGTTACATCATTACACAGTTATTCCAGGAGAATTAAAATTTTGGAGTAACCTTACAACAGTGAGGAGATGCTTAACTAAAGTAAGTTGTGTTTATGAAGGACTTAAAAAGTTATTTAAGGGCTGGGGGTGTAGCTCAGTGAGGGACTGCTTGCCTAGCAGGCGTGAGGCCCGGGGTTGGGTCCCGGTGGGGAGGGCTGCTGGCCTTGTTAGGCAGTAGATGTATAAAAGGAAGCTGTTGATGTTGTGGTTGACTTGGGATGTGTGGGAGGCAGGTGGATTTTTCTCCAAGGGAGATGGTCGCGGTATATGTTGGGCTGGGTCGCGGATAACTGCCTGCCTGCCTGCCTTAGTGAGGGTTGTGTTGGAAGAATTCCCAACAGTCATGACTGACCTCAAGAGGAGAGTGAGGACCTCAGCACGGAGCAGGTTTCCTGGGACTTACTGTGTTTAATGTGCAACTGAGCGTATCCTCTCATGAAAGTGCCAGAGCACTTACGCTGAGGAAATACGGGAAGGGTACCCAGCAGTGAGCAAGACCCAAGGCCGGAGAACAAAACAATGAGTAAGTTGCTCAGACAATTCTTAGTTCATACTCCTGAAGACTGCCCACATTTCTTTGCAGTGTTGCATTCAATGGAGGGGACAACTTGGTAATTGTTAAGTTGCCTCTGAAAGGAGTTTCGCTGTAGAGCTCCTTTCAGTCTGGTAGCCGAAGCCTCAGCAGAAGCCAACTGTTAATTTCCCAGCTATGTAGGTGTTTGCAAAGACCGTGTGCAGGATGATCAGGAGGGAGCGGACTACAGAAGAGCTTTGGGGTCCTGGTTCTCTACTTACAGTTACATGGCACTGTCTGCATCTTACATATGTGGTATTTTGTTTTGTTTTTTGAGACCAGATTTCACAATGTAGTGCAAGATGGCCTTGAACTCAATGTATAGTTCAAGCTGGTCTCAAACTCATAGCAGTCCTCCTCCTGCCTCAGCCTCCTGAGTGCTGGGATTACAGGCTTGCACCACCGTGCCTGGCTTCCATCTCTCCTTCGAGGTGGTATGTCCAGGTAATTTTGTTAAAAATTGGAGCCAGCCTAAGTATTTCACATATGATACGATTGTAGTTATGTGTGTATAGAACTAGGGCTAAGGAAATAATTTGCTGAGAATTTTGGTTTCTGTGCTTTGGTGTTACAGATCCCACCTACAGCTTGCATGTGGTAGACAAGTGTTCCAGCCCTTTTTTCTTTTTGCTGTACCAGGGATTGAACTCAGGACCTTGCGCTTGCCAAGCAAGTGCTTATTCTTCTGAGCTATCTCCCCAGCCCCCCCTTTTTTTTTCTTAATTTTGAGATGGGGGTCTCACCAAGTTGCCCAGGTTGACCTTAAAGTTTTCCTGCCTCAGGATGATAGGTGTGTACTGCCACATTCAGATTAATATGCTTCCCATTAATACACTTCCAAAATGTCACACTAATGAAGAAATTTTCCTGCCCGCTCATTTTCAACTCTCCTTAACACACTGCAGTATGGGATTCCCTTTTATTTGCAGTACCTCGCCCACTGGCCGGAGTATTTCATCGTGGCGGAGGCTCCTGGGGGAGAGTTGATGGGCTACAGTGAGTATTGCTCTGCAGTCCTGTTCTGGGTAGGAAGACAGAGTTGATTCTCATGTTGGGTTGGTTGTGTTAGAATGGAGAACTAGAGGCAGAAGCCTGATGCTGGTAATTTATTCCTTTCCTACCACTCAGCACTTGCTGATCTCGTCTTAGACTTGGGGTATCCTAGGGTTAGCAAAACCTGGCTGGTGAATTGTCTGTGATAGGTACAGATCCACATGAAATATAGACTTTGGGAAAACTACAGACTTAGGTTGGTTGTTTAGAATTACTTTGTTTTTAGTATGTCATTAAAAAAAAAAAAATTCTTCCTTAAGTCTGACCGAAGAACTGGATGTAGTGTTCCATTTGCATGTGAACTTTCAAGTAAGAGGACTAACTCATTCTGGCTGGCCCTGGCTAGAACTGCAAGTGAATGCTTTGTTCTTAGCTACCTTTATTGTAGACGCGCCCCAGGAGTGGTTCTGTGGGTCCAAGTTGCTGTGTCTAACAAGGCTGTGCTGTTTTTTTGTTGGCAGTCATGGGCAAAGCAGAGGGCTCTGTTGCGAGAGAGGAGTGGCATGGCCATGTCACAGCTCTGTCTGTCGCTCCTGAATTTCGGCGCCTTGGTTTGGCTGCTAAACTCATGGAGTTACTAGAAGAGATCTCAGAGAGGTGAGGTTCTGCCTTTCAGTATGCCCCTGACCCGCCTGCCTTCCCATCTCACTGCTCTGCTGAACGTCCATAAGGTTCCTCCTCCGGCTAGGCGGCTATCCTGGATTTACACTCTGGGAGCTTCATATTCAGCCTCACAGCTCTGCCACACACATTGCTGATTCCGCTTTGCTGCACCCTGAGGCCCTTGGCCTCAGGAAGGTGGGTGCAGCTCACCTGCAGCAGGGTGCTAGGAGTGCTTGGGCTGCTTTGCACATCATCCTGGGCAGTGGTGGGTGCACAGTACCCATAGGACACAGGAAGTAGTTCAGGTTTTTTTTGGTAGTGGGAATCTAACTCAGGACCTTACACGTACCAGGCAGGCACTGTGCCACAGCCATATCCCCAGCTCAGTCTTAAGCTTAGCAAGTACAGTATTTATAGTCCAATAGCTAGTACCATTTAGAAAGCAGCAAATACGTGAAATAAAATGCGCTTATTTCATTTTTAATTGTGACTACCATTCCTGAGATGTTGGGCACTTGTTGGGCATCTGTGACCTCTGGACCTTAGAAACAGCTTCCTGACCTTCTGTGTCCCACTGATGCTCTAGGGCACGAATTGTATGTTTTTCAGTCACCAACTACCAGGTGCTCAACCTCATAAAAATACTGTGCCGTTGAAAGGAATGTAGCAAGATGGAATGCTGACTGTGTTAACCACTTCAGCATTCACCAGTATCAGACAAGGAAAGCTGCTCTGTTCCCTAGAATATGGGACTTATCCTATGGCTCTGAGTTGTGAGAACCTTAATAGTTTGGGAACTGCCACTGTGTGATGACATTTAGATAAAACAGGCCTTCCATGTCCACTGACACCCTTGCCATGTGATACACCCACTAATTAGGAGAAAGCTTCCGCCGCCTGGTCTGGAAGAGGAGAGTGTGCGTCTGGCTCTGGTCAGGCTGCCTTTGCTTTTCCAGTGTACAGCCTAGGTGCTAGGGAAGAGCACAGTGGAAAAGGAGCTCTTGGGCTTCCACCCGGGCTTGTGTCCACGTGGTGCCTTGCAGGTGCTGTAAATGAATAACTGCCACAGACACTGAGCCACGTGCAGCCTGAGCCCATCAGGAGAATAAAGAGATGGTATCAGATGCAAAGGACATCGACTCTGGGCTTTGTGACTTTCTAAAGGTCTCCATAGAGTTTGCATACCGTATTAGTGACATCCGTGTTGGAAAAAAAAGAGTACCTGGCAGGGAAATAGGAGATGGGTCTAACCACTGTGACCTTGCACATAGGCTCGAATGTATTTGTAGATTTCTCTTTTGAGTAGAAAGTCACTGACTGCCTTTCCAGATTCTGAAGTTTCATTATTTTAAGACAGCTGTTTAATGTATTACTTGTATGTGTGTATAGATACACACAGGCTTGTTTCATTAATGTATACATTAAAATGAAAGTGCATAACTTCCAGAGGACACAAAAAATTGAATGATGGACAGTGATACAATAGTAAGGGAGGCTGGTAAAACAAAAAGCATGAAATAAGACTAGCTGTGAACCCAGATACCAGTACCTACAATGATAAACGTTAATAGACTCACAGTTCCAGTTAACATAGTCTAAACTATTTTGTTTGTGGGAAATATGTGACAAGGAAAGAGTGGAAAGAAAGGAAATGTTTAAATCCTCATGCAAAGCCTAGCCAAAGGAAAGTTACAGTAATAATAGTTATGTTGTATTTGAATAATTGTTACCAGAGCAAAGAAGGTACCCGCAGATAGATTTAATTCATCAAGAAGTTGTAACAGTTAAAAATTTTAGGTACTCACTGGCATAGGTTCAAAGTAAAGAGATCCAGCAGAACTTACAAAGCTACAAGGATGGACAGACACACTGTTATCATTTTGGGAGATTTGCACATGCTTTTTTCTGTTGGAACCACCTGACAAGAAATTGGCTAAGGGACTAGAATAGAGGTCAGCAAGCCTTTCCTGGCTGGGGCAGAGTAAAATTTGGTTTGTTCCTTTTTTTTTAATCTTCAGAACTGTATACACCACCCTTAGCTCGAGGCAACTAGCCAGACTTCTTTCTATACAAAGAAATGGGGCGTCTCTAGAAATTTTCAGGTAATATTTAGGAAATAACTATTGTAAGGTCCCTGTCTTACTTTCATGTTGCTGAGACAAAATACTCAACACCTGAGGTTACAGATGGAAAGATTTATTTAGCTCACAGTTTGTAGAGAATTTCAGACCATAATCAGCTGGCTCTGAGGCAGGGTGGCACCACATTGGAGAAACAGTTCATGGGGAGCAGAAGGTAGCAAAGCAATGAGGGATGCCCACAGCTCTTTCTATCCCATATATCTTCTCTAGACTACTCAGGGCGGGTGGCACTCACACCCTCAATTCTAGTGCCCCTGATCCTGGCATTGCACCATGAACTAGTCCCAGTGTCACACACTCTAGATGCAGCCACCTCTGAGAAAGCCCCACCCGCGTACGACCACATTTGGCTTTGGGCGACATCCAGACACAAGCACCTTTATAGTCAATTTTTTCATAAGAACAAGTGTTTGGGAGCATTCTATAGCCTACCTGTAATAAAGGTTGGGGTAACCTTGCTAATACTTTCTGACAGACAAATACTTGAAGGGAAGGCATGGGGAAATCTCTTTGGCTGCAGGAATCTGCGAAGGACCACAGCAAGATGGGCTAAGCGATGCATGAGGAGGAGGAGGCTGCATCAGGAGCAAGGGCATTTGGGCTGCAGACTGATCACTAGTTCATTAACTCGTTTGCAGCGGGCCAAATGTGTGTGGCTTTCTGCCAGGCGGCTTGAACCACTGGTGGTCCACGCACAGATGTCCCATCAGGTGGCTTTTTACTAATAAAAATAAAAAGAGCAATAAATGTGGTTAGATCCTTTAGTGCTCCCAGCGGTACTGGCTTCCCAATGGGACAGTCCTGTGTCCCACTGGTGGTTCAAGCCAGTAGGAACATGTGAAATGCAGTAAATTTGGTACATCCCAGTATTTTTGATAAAAACTGTAGCAAACTAGAAAATAGAAGTGGAGAGTGACTAGCAAAACCCCTGATATATTTTACAGATAGGCTCATACAAATTGAAAGTACACAAAAATCTAGAACTGTTTAGAATTAGTAAAAATAAGGCAGTATAAAATCATTTGTATTTTAATATACAAAAAATAGTAAAGTACAGGCAGAGATGCCATGGCAGTGACATTAGCAATTACATGCTTAAGGAAAGTCATACACGCTGAATGTAAGCAAAAATAGCCTCCATATATGGACAGACTGGATTAGGGGACATCACAAAACTTACAGTTCCATGTCTAATACAATTGTAGTCAAAATTATGAGCAAGACGGCCTTGGGCAGCTCTGTGGGCCAGCAGGACATAGGAGAAATGGGCCCAAGGATAGATGATTTGGACAGCTTGGTTGGCCCCGAGGGTCTGTGGTATGGAAACAGCCTTTTTAGTCCACACAGCTCTCCACACGGGGAAGTTTCCCAGTTTCTCCACTTGACATACACAAGTCAGTTCCAGATGGATGAAAATTCTAGATGTGAAGAGCAAAACTTAGAAGCTCTGGGAATGTAGTGTGTGGGTCTCTGATCTCATGGTAGAAGGAACTCCTTACCTAGGCAACAGAAGGTGCAGAGTGTTAGGGAAGACGGTTTCCAGAGCTGCTTCAGAAAGTGGCGAGAATAATGGGAAGAGTGTGTTGGAGGAGGGGGGTTGAAGAGGAATCATGGCAATACATTTTTTTAAAAATTTAAATGTGTGCTATATTTTTTATCTGTTTGTATGTTGGAAGATGAATAAGCTCCAGCCACTCTGGAGGCTGACTCAGTACTGACTGTGAGAAACAAATGACAGGAACGCAGAGTCCCATTCTGTTAGTTCACAGGCAGGACCCCAGCTTTAGAATGTGGAAAATCTGCAGCAGAAAGTGGGGAGGTGGCAGTCTCCGGAGTGAGAAGTGCAGCCCTCTGGGGGAGAGCATGCAGAAGGCCACTGCCTGGAGAGCCCTAGCTCAGGACCAGCATCTGGTACGCACCTGGGCCTCCATCTCAGCAGCAGTGACACATCCTCTGCTGTGAAAATGGGTGTGACAATTGCTTTGACAATAAAATACAGTTATAACAAAACAAAACAAAAAACAGGAGCAGAATTGTAAGAAATGTTTTGGTTTTATCTTTTAAGAAAACCTATTACAACTTTTTGAAAAATGGATAAAAAACATCTTTTTAAAATCGCGAAATAACTGTCATAAGTTCTTGAACAGTAAAACTATTATGATATAGTTAACAAGACCCAGTTACCACCATTCAAAGCAAAGGAAAAAAGCAGGTGTTTTTGTAAAAGTATGTAGTTGCTACTTCCTAAGCTCTGACCTGCCATGTCCTTTCTCTTTAAAGAAAGGGCGGTTTCTTCGTTGATCTCTTCGTCAGAGTGTCTAACCAGGTTGCAGTCAACATGTATAAGCAGCTGGGCTACAGCGTGTACCGGACCGTCATAGAGTACTACTCGGCCAGCAACGGGGAGCCAGACGAGGATGCCTATGGTGAGCACTGCCCACAGCCGACTAGGTTAAGACATTTCCCACAGAATCTGGAGGAAGTTGGGGTGAAACCTCTTTGGGGGACTTTTCCTGTACATTAAAATTTGATATAGAATGCTCTGCTGTTCAGGTCCTTACATTTTTTTTAACCCTTGCTTTGTCACAGATATGAGGAAAGCACTTTCCAGGGACACAGAGAAGAAATCCATCATCCCATTGCCCCACCCGGTGAGGCCTGAAGACATTGAATAACCTTGGGCAGTGGCTCTTAGGCAGATAGGCAGATTGATGTCCCAGTAGTTTGTGGACATTATTTTCATTGGATGACGTTGGAGTTCTTAGATTAGGAGAAAAGCGTATCATTTAGGTCTAAAAAACTTCAAGAAAATATGGATTATAAAGTGTATTTTAAATCTCATTTCCAGTTAGTATTACACCTATTAAAGCTGTTCACCATAATGATATTCAGTCAAGAAAACCACTAGGTCAGGCCAGTGCCACTGTCGTCATTCAGTGTCTACCGTGTGCCAGGGAAAAAACTTGCTTCGACCCCAACTCTGCCTGAGAGCCACTGCTGCAATACATATTTATTTTGTTATGAACTGTCAACTGAAGCTTTAAAAGCATATATGAAATGTATAAATCTTAGATGTCTTAATAAAAGACATTGTTGACTGTCTCCTGGTTATTTGTTGGTCATTAACATAATTAAATCAGGTCTGTAAAAAATCACTATTTAGGATGTATAGTTTTTCACATTGTTTCTATGTGGAACATGTTTTAAGTGCACCTCAGAAATCATCTGTGCTCAGGACATTTGAATTTACTGCATGTAAATTCTTCCTAGGTACTTAATTTCATACGTTGGTCCTGAATTGTTTTTTCCTCGCACAGTAGTTTGCTTAAATTTTGCCTTTCTTAAGCAAAAGAACTTGAGAATTTTTGTTTTAAAACAAGCAGAAGTCATTCTGAGAGGTCGGCCATGTATGGGCCACTAGCCCATAGGCCAGCCATGTATTTTCACACCTGTAGTAAAGCATCCAGTGAGTAACAAGAATACACAGATGTATACTGCAGAAATACATGTTTTGGCAGAGGTGAGGATGGCAGGGAAATGAGCCCTTTCTGTGCACACCAGTGCTCATTTTGGCAAGTGTGACTGATCTTCCTCTTAGGTAGCCATGCAGCGTAAACAGACGATGTTAGAACTAGGACAGGCGGGATTTATGTTTTCATCTCACCCTTTGCCTCTGCATACTTACAAAGGGTAGTAAATCAGACTGCCCAATTCACTGATGAGAGACTCACTACTTGATAGAACCCCTGCCACTGACTCAGGCCAGTGACTTTGTTTTTCATAGAGTCTTACAATGAGGTTCAGGCTAACCTTGAACTTGAGGTGATCCTCCTGCCTCAGACTCAAGTGCTGGGATTATAGGTGTGGTGCAAGCCAGTGACTAGAACAGAGGCCAAGAAGAGTTCTGCCCTCAAGACACTGTCTTATTTTCAAGACAACACTTTATTCCCATGGATGAAGAAATTTGCACACGTGTTTGCTCACTAATGGTGCTGAAAGGGAAAAAAATCTTGAAAATGCAATTCTATTTGGTAGTGAATGAAACAAAACTACTTAAGAAAATACAGGGCAGGTGAGTTTTTGTGCTGGACAATGTGAGCACAACATTCTCTCACCTGTGATAGCTTTTCTGTTTCAGAGAGGCCCCTTGGTTGGTTGTCCACAAGCTCTATGCCTAGGGCCAGTTCAGCGTGCCAGGAGCCAGGAGCAGACAGCCCGGCACTGGGCAGTGCTGTGGTGGATAATCAGTGTACAGAAGCATGTCAAAGGCTCCAAGAAGCCCAACTGCAGGGAGACTTAATTAGGAGGGTATAAATTTAAATTCAGGAGTTACCAAACTTATTTGAAGATGGGACATTACTTTTTCCAGCACACTTATGAAGAGGTTTTAAAAAGCCATTGTTCTTTCAGCAAGCTATTACAAAGCTCAACCAGTTTGGGTAACTGATGACAGTAACATAAACTGGAAAATATTCTTGGTAACAACTATCCCAAGTAGTGTCTTAAAAGGCCCTTAGTATACCTGATTATATTAAAAGGTAAGGATATTTAGATGTTAAGAATTAACCTCACTGCATTCAGTTCTACAAAGAATGAACACAGTTAGAAACAGACCAATGAACATTTGCAATACATTATGTATTTTCCTTTCCTAATCTTCAAAATGTGCTGTCACAGCACTGGCTCATTTTGCGTGAGGAGACAAAAGGCAGGACACACCATCACCATGTGCATCCTTGGGAACTAATCTCCAGTCCGCATGCCAGTGAAGGCAGTAAGCTCAGAGGTTTCAAATGAATGCGTAACATCTTTTGGAAGCAGATAATCAAGAGAAATCTACACCTATATTAAGAGTGTAACCTGCAAACCTTCTTTTAAAAAGATTGAGAAGTCTGGGGGCCCATCTATAAGATGGTGAGCGTGACCTTAATTGGATTTCATAAGGCAGGGTGTGGAGTCCTGGAAGTCTGGTAAGTCCCCAATGTGCCCAAGAACATTTCAAAAGTAATTCAAAATTGCCAGAGATTCCAAGCAATTCTTACTAGTGAATATAAACACCTTCAGGAGTCATAAGTGCTGCAAACTATTAATTTATGAAAATAATAAAACATTTATCAATATGAAAAAGATCAAGATTCACTCTCATCAATGTCCTTATCTGGATCCTGCTCAGCAGCCTCCTTTTCCTGCTGCTGTTTCTTCCAAAGCTTGGCCATGGCCAGCAGCTTAAGGTTGGGCTGGTTGGCAGCGTCCTCGGGAAAGATGTAGTCATAGTATTCTTCCCAGCCTGCGTCGGACTGCAGAGACAAAACAAAGTAAGCAAACACTCAGGTTTCACAGTTATGACGCAAACTGTCTTCCTTTTTTAAAAACAACACAGAAGCTTCCTACAGAAGCAGCAACAGCTGGGCCTGGGAGCCCGGCAGTGCATGAGCAGTGGCTGTCACTGAAGGGAACTGAAAACTGGTGGAAGCAAAGCATGGCTTCTCCACAGTCAACAAGCCAGCGCCTCCAACACCATCTTGCAGTCTTGTACTTAAGGGTTAAAGTTTTACGTTTTATGAAGCATTTATCCAGGAGCAGAGCCTGAAATCTGCATCACGGCCTAAAGCTCCTGCCCTCACACCCTCACCTCCAGACGCTTACCCGTGTCCTCCCCATACTCCTCTAGTGGCCCTGCCCTGCCCTTCCTGCCTGGCATTCACCAACGGCCTGTACGGGATTTCTTCCAGTCCCAGCCCCTCACGTTCCCTGAGCTGCCAGCAGTGGCAGGCCATGCTGTCTCTGTGTGAAAGCCTGTGACAATTGCCACCACCCTCCCCCCATCACCTACAGGGCCACCTTCGAGTGTTGGCTCCTTGCTGAACGTGGAGCCTAGTTCCTGCTGAAGACTTCCTGCTAGTGCTGTAGAAGCAGGTATCAACTGCATGGACCTCCCTACTCACGCATCACCAAGAAGCCTGTGGCAACTCTTCCTGTCCATCCAGGCTATGTCCTCCTACTCCTGGCTATTTGTATCCTGAGGCCACAGGCAGGAACCATTGAAAAGCGCAGGTATCAAAGTCAGAAGCATTGGACTCTGGGACTGGGCTCTTACCCCGTCGTCAGTCTGGACCTTTCTTCTCTTCTTGACTTTCTCCGGCATGAGTTTGTCCACTCTCTCCTTATCTGATGCGGTTCCAAATTCATCTTCAAAGCTTCGCCACGATTCCAGCAGCATAAGCCTCTCTTCCTTTTCCTCACAGTTCCGCATGGTTTTGTTTGCTTCCTCATAGATTTGCCTGCATTTGGCAACACTTTCTTCTCTCCCCGAGGACAATTCAAATTGAGCAAAACTGATCCAAACCTTAAAAAAATTATTGTGGAGCCAAGTTAACCACAATGATATAACAATAGTAATAATTTCTAGTTAATGACACCCAAACAGGACATGTTCGTTTCTAGGGTTCCACACTAGACAGTGCTTCATTACGGGGTACCAGGCTCAAGATCCTCCAAACAGCTCATCTTCTCCCTCTTGGAATATCTAAGACAGTCACACACAGTATACGCATGACCCAGGATAAGCTTAACATTCTAAGGTCCTCCAAGACTCACTAGTTCTCTTCAAAAGCAAGAAAATTTAGGAATACAGTATTTTTCTTTCAGTATTGTTGACTGAAGCAAAATCAAAGACCATCTACAAAGGACAGGATACCTTGACATGTTGCGTCCGTTGAAGCAGCTGCCGGTAAAGATTTCGTGTTCTTTCAGTTTCTTCCTGCTCGATCTCAAAATCAATATATGACTTCCAAAGAACCTAAAAAGATAGTAAGTCAGCCTGCCAAACCAGGAGGAGGCTTTTACAGTTTTTCAAAATGTTCAACTCATAAGAGGCTGAGATATTTGAGTCTCCCAGATACTTTCATGATCATCCACAGTTAAAATTCTAAGGAAAATTAGGCTTAGGGTAGTCAGTGTATATGTTCTTACCTTCATGGAAAATCCTCTATTATTTGAGTTCAACTCAATCAATACTGAACAGCGGCCGACCTCTTAGGTACCGTCTGTTGGGGCCCAAGACTGAGTAAGCTGTGGCGTGGACATCTGGAAGTGGGCTGTCTGAAGCACCCTGAGGCAACAGCTGTGGCCAGCAGTACACAAAGGGCTGGCCTGCTGTGGTTGGGGGGCTGAGCTGTTCAATGCCAGGGCACACTGGGTACAACACCGGAAGGCTGTGTGGGTTCTGGCTGCCTGTGCCACTCAGAGGCCCTAGTGGCAGTTTGGCGCCACCATGTGGTTGGTGCTAAACCACTGCTGGGCTGGGAATCCAGGACACTGCAACAGTAATCCACAAACAGCTGGGCTTAGCTGGAGCCTCTTGTGGGCCCAATCCAGGAAAACTGACTGAGGAAGTCTGTGCACTGCTCACCCCGTGCCCTGGTCTCTTCAGGTGAGCTTGCTGTGCCTGGGCCTCTTTCCCCTCCCTTTAGTCTTTCCAAGGAAGGAGAGAGCTAGTCATCTTCTCCATTATATTTCAATTCATCCTGGCTGCCTACCTTCCTACACTGCAAACAGAAACCTCCATTCTATCAGAAGTGACTGTAGATTAGTTGAATATTTTTGCACCTGAAATGTACATTTAGATGGCCATGTATGGGCAGGGGAGATGGCTCAGCAGCATAAGTGCCTGCCTGGAAAGCATAAAGTCCTGAGTTTGACAACCAGTAACAGAAAGAAAAGAAAAAAATAAAAAAAGAATAGATGGCCATCTACAAGACCACAAGAGAATTGGCCAAAGCAAAATGAGGTTCCACCAAGGCCCTCACCTCTGGCATGTCTAGGCGTGGCTGGCTGATGGCCAATTCATAGATGGCCCGTGCTCTGTCAATGTCGCCAAGGATTGTCTCCAGTTCTGCAAATTTAATCCAGGAGGTACAATTTTCAGGTCCAAATTCCAGGAACTTTTCATAAAGCTTCCGGCATCTGTCAAATTCTCGAAGTTGCAACTCCAATTCTATGTAACCTTTAAATAACTTGTTCTTTGGACATTTGCCTATGGCTGTTCCCTGGAAAATAAAATAGCCAGGCCACTATGATGTCTTAGTGGGGTCACTGGGCAC